CAAGTTATTTTAAGAGTCTCTACAAATATGGTCAAAATGGGTTAAATATGGGTATCCATATTGATCCATAATAGATCACTTAGTTTTCATTTCCACTCAAAATTCTTAATTGTGTTAAAAAATAAAATATTAATATTTTCTTTCAAATTTAATTGAAAGAACAGATTATTTTTTTTTGGTTTTTGGGGGGGTGCCCGGGGGAGGGGGTAATTTTTTTTTCTTTTGAAAAAACAGACCTTTTTTTTGTTTTTGGAAAACAAAAAAATTTTAGGGGTCGGTTGGTGGAAGGTGGGAGTGGTGGGGGGGTAATTTTTTTTTTTGAAAAACAGATTTTTTTAAATGGGTTAGAACCTATTTTACCCAAACCATATTTGACCAAATCCATATTTACCCATATTCTATTTGAGTGAATTATAATCCAAACTATTTTTGCTCAATCCAACCATTTGCCAACCCAACACCAATGTGAAAAGACTTCTTCCCTACCTAAACAAAATCTTACTTCAAACTGAGATACACCTCTGAATTTTTAATTGATGTCCCCAAACGATGTTTCTCTTTTTTTTTTCCTACTAGCAAACTTTTGATCTTTAGAGGTTTAAGACTTTGCAATTCTGTACTATACAATATATATACGTGACAAGTAGTAACTATTTAGTGAAATAGTCAAATTGCATCCAAGTTGATCTAATCACCACCGTTATCAAGTCATCTAAATATATAAATTTGTCCCTGAATTTTGTGTTTCAAAAAACATACAATCCCATTATGTTTCTAGCTAAATATTGGTCCTATAGTTGAATAAAAAGGACTGTCACAAACAATAACCATATTAGACAAAACAAGTACAAAAGATAAGCGTTGACACGTACCATGTTGAGACATTAAACTAAAAAGTTTAGAGTTTCAATTGTCCTATTTAAAAACACAATTCCTTAGTTTCTCGACAGGAATCACGTGTTCAATCAGTTGAGGAATCCAAAAAACTGTTGAAGCAGGTGAGTTTTGATATTTTAAAGTAGAATTATATTATTATATGGTTTGTGGAATATGAATTTTTAATAATTTGGAGGACTAAAAGGGAATGACAAAACCACATGTAGCCTAAATGTGTTGGGTACCAACATTCAATTTTGTACCCATCCAACAACTAAGATGGGGTTGTCTTAGTTCTCTTCTCTCACTTTCACCCAAACAATCCTTTAGGCTAAAAATCTGGTGAGGAATAAACCAAACAAGGAGATACTTGTGTTTGATGTGCAATAACAAAAATTCATCTTGGGTATTTGATCAGCAAAAAGGAATTATATACAAAGGGGTAGAAATACTCTTAATGATTTTGTCGAAAATGTACATGAGTAGCATGTTATTAATAATGCTTTTAGGCTAGCTAGCGTACCCAACAAATTTGGCGCATGACGAGCAGGGAGATGACATGACACATTTGACGCCCATCAGGCTTCTGAAGAAGGGGTAAACATGATATGTTAGGGGAGCCACACTTCGAAAATTAATTCAAGAGACGGAGTCAGAATTTAAAGTTTGTGGATTTAAAATTTTAATTTAAAGTTACTGGGTCTGATCGAACCCCTAACTCTATATTAGCTCCGCCTTTGGTTGAAATATATAGAAGAGGAAAATGAAGAGCTTTATAAGGAGTAACATTTTTTTATTTATTTTTACTCGAACTCGCAACCTTCGGATTGAAAGTGAGGGGTGCTTACCATCCGAGCAACTCCCTCTCGTCTATAAGGAGTAACATAAGTTCTCATGATACACACATTTGAACTCGATCATGGCGTAGCCTAGAGAAACTTTAGTGAGGACTCTTAAGTCCCTAAGGGGTTGTATGTGATGCTCACGAGGGCGTGCAACTCACACTTAAGGACTAATTAAGAGGCTTCTAGACAGGGGCGAATTTAAGCTTAAAAAATGGGTCACCTGAACCCGTGGTCATCCGACAAAACTCGATGTATCACTTGTATAATTTTTAAAATATATCAAATAGCAATTGAAGGAACCCATGAACACAAACAACTAGATGGTTCACTGGTTTGAGTGTCAGTTTTCCACTTTGTGGTTGAGGGATCGATTCCCAGATTTTGCATTTTCACAACCTTGCATTTTATTTTATTCACAAAAGAGTTTCTGCATTCAGCCATTTTTAAACTTCTTCTAATGACTTTTTCTTATAATAAAATTTATTTATTTTGCAAATGTATTTAATATTTTTCTTATGAAAAACCTATATATATTATTGCTAAAATAAATAAGGCCCCTCAAATTTGAAAGCCTAAATTAGTTGCCTTTTTTCTTAAAGGGACAGAGCCGTCCCTGACAATGATGCACCCGTCTTCTTGAAATTCTAGATTCGCCTCTGCTTCTAGATTGACAAGTTTATGAAAAAGGGGTGTACACGATCCATTAATTTGGTGAATCACATTGGAATAAGAGAGGAAAGTGAGTTTTATAAGACATAACACAAGTTCACGCAAGATTTAATATGACTCAGGCTAGAAAAAAGAAAGTATTACTGATGATGGAGAAGCTAAGGTAACTACCATATGGAGCCATGTGGTTTATTGTCAACAAAGTTATAAAGAAGATGGCGAAAGCGCTAGGCTGTAATTGCATGAAGAAGACATCAAACTAAAATATTCATTCTCAAAAGATTGTCACAATGCTTTTCCTGCAACTACTTGGATTTGCTCTAGGTGTCAAATAGTGTATAGCATTGATGATAATCTGGCCAATAGTACTAGGCACACCTATGCGTGTAAAGGTGGGTTCAGAGATGGAGTCAGAATTTAAAATTTAATAATTAAATTAACTATCAAATTAATATTTATAATAATGTGTGAATAAAAACGGTAAGTTTGGTGTGAATCCACATGTTATCATGTAGATCAACCCCGAGTGCCCTAGCACTAAAGAATTGAGGGTGGAAATGATTTCTACTCATATCGGTAGCAATAGGGGTGTCAAATGAGCGAATTGGACTGAAATTGAACAAGTTACAATTGACTGAGTTAATAAATGAGTTTGGCCTAAAATCAGTCCAAAAATTACTTGGGTTGAAATGGAATGGGCTTAAAATGGGTTGAGTTATGACCAGTCCAATTTGACCCAATTTTAATTTTTCAAGTGGTGCACATTCAGGTCCACCCTTTAGGTCTGACTCACAACCCCGACCCCTGCTTGATCCATGACCTAAGACCTGACCTTGATCAAATCCTTACTTGAAGCCCAAGACACGAGCCTCAACCCTCGACCTCGACCCGACACTCGAGACACTACTCATATGACCCTACCATGACCCGAGATTGATCAAAATCCGACCCTGGCCCAGGCCTCAAGCCTTGACTTTGACCCAAAATTCGAGACATGAGCCTAACTCAAGACACGGCCTTGATCTGAGACTCTAGACCCGACTTTGACTCAGTACTAGAGACCCAACCCCGACCCAGAACTCAAGACTTGACCTTGATCCTAAACCCAACCCCAACCAGAGATCTTATCCTAACTCGGTATATCCAAGACTCCACTTTGACTCAAAAACTCGAGACCCGACCCAAACCCCCGACTTTGACCCAAAAATCGAGACCCAAACCTCAACCTGGATTTGGGACCTGACCTCAACTTGGGACCAAAGTACTGGGACCCAAATCCCGACCCATTAAAAGAATCAAAGTAAATCTCAACAATAAATCCAAAATAAGTAAATCTTAAAAATATAGTAATATACCATAATTGTTCTAATATTGAGCTAAACTGAAGATCACTTCCAAAATGAATTATGTTAGGGTGAGCTAAAATTAGCCTAATATGAAATTATCTTATACCCAACTCTTAAAATATTGGGCGGTTTAGACAGCCATCACATTTTGGGCCATATAACAGCTCTACTGTAGCATTAATGAATTTGTAGGCCTACTATGGGAATGTTTTGCACAAAAAGGACCATTAGAAGTTGGATATCAATGTCGTAGTTAAGGTTTGAGGATGACTGACATACGAGTCGATTTCGATAACGTATGCTTTAAATGTATTTCTTTGTCGTTCACTATTTCACTTTTTATTTTAATTAAATAAATAGATATAGAGTTTAACTAAACTGTAGCACATATTTCTTTTTTAAAAAAAAGATTATTAGGTTAAAATTACCTACAATGGTAGTCCAAGTAAATAAGTAACTTGATATAACAAGAGAGTGCATATATACAAAATTAAACCAAGAAATTAGTGATATGTGGCGTGACCAATATATAAAATGGTTAAAATTATGACATGTTGAATATTCAACTATCTTTAGAGAAAATTAAATGCTACTATGCTATAGTTTATCTCCGTCAATAATTAATTGTAAGCATCCTTATCAAAAAAGATAAGATAAGATTTTATTTTTATTTTATTTTATCCTCTTTCAATACTATCCTTCTTCAAAACATCATCAAAAGGGACCTAAGCCTTTGGGCCTTAAATTCCTTAGCCAGTCAAGCCCAAAGAGAAAAGATTGTTGGGCCAAATTCTGCCAAGTGAAATGAATTTTGGTTGTTTCTATTTTAATCAAGGGGAAAGGGTTGATATATTCCTCAATTTTGTCGTTTAGAATTGATATATAAAAATAATTCACGTTATAAAAGTGATTCACATTTAAAGCTGATATTCCCTTCAACTTTTTCTTAATATTAGTTTAAGCACAAAAAACAGCAAATGCACAAAGAAGCAAGGAATTTCTCACATTAAATTTGAGATTTATTATATCATACTAACCTATTTATTATATTTCGACCGAAAAAGAAAAATAAAAATTTACTTTTTTAATATTAGAGTTAAGTCAGCAGCAGTAGTACTAATTTTTAACTGTAGTAATAATAATAATTCCACTTATATATTGTCACACAGTAGACGTGTCAAAGTCACAGCTTATGACAAAAAGCACAAGTGCTTAAGTGTCATTTACTTATTGGGTGTGAAAAACCCTAAAACCCTTAATATATTGCGTCTCAAAGAGACAGGTTATTGCCGTTTAGGGTTTAAGCAAAATCAAGAAAAAGCAGTTAAGCAGCTTCTGTTCCTCAGCTGCTGTGTGTTTGGCAAAAGGGAAAAAATAATGGTGGTTGACAAAGGGAAGAAGCAGAAAGTGGAAGAGGAAAACTACATTGATGAAAAGCTCATTTTTTCCATTGAAAAATTGCAAGAAATACAAGACGACCTTGATAAGGTAAATTCTATCTTCCTTAGTGTCAAACAATAAATCCTGGAAATATTTACCTAATTTGAGTCCTTTTCATTCCAATACTTGGTAATTTTTATTTTTTTTGACAAGGATTTATCTAAAACTAGTAAAGATTCAAATTTTATTGTATAGAATTAGGTAGGAGCTAAGTTTAGTTAATTATTGCTCGGAGGCAGATCCAGGATTTGAAGTTTATGGGGTTCTCAGTGATCTCAAATAAATTAGTAGTATAAGGTATCCAAGAGGATTCGAGTAAATTAGGGGGCGGCTTAGATTAGCAGCTTCAATTTCTGCCGCTGAACCAGGCACTTGATTTGCTAGTGGTCAAATATTTCTTATATAGTTGGTGTCTATGCAAAAGTCACTGGGTTCCCGGAAGCCCCACTCTACCCCTGCATCCGTCCCTGTTCTAGCTAGGTAGTGCGTTGAACAGTTAATCTCAATGCAGAGCAGGTTGTCCGAGTGGAAAGTCTCTTTCTTTTTCTTCTTTGGGTGGTTGGGTTTGGGGTTCTTGAAATATGCTGTTTATAAACTGTGCCAGAATATTGCTAATGGATATAGAAGGTCGGTGTAGCTGACTCTATGATCGACTAATCATTCTATGATGAAAATAGAATAACTGCGAATCTTGTGTTATTTTTGGGACATAGTTGTTCCGATGATCGTCTATGTCTTTAATTTAATTTGTTGCAGCTTGGCACTCCTTAATTTCCCCTTTTCCATTGTTAAGATTGAGTTTAATGCATCGAACATCCTTGTATGTATTCTAACATTGCTCAAAAAGTTGTCTGGTTTGTCCATGTATCTGACATGAGAATATGGTTCCTTGTTTTTAGTGTGGACATAAACTGGATATCACTGGCAGTGTTGCAGTGTTCTAGCTTTTTCAGCTACACACTGAAAGCTTAATCACTCGGCAAACTATCAACTTTTACTGGTTCACAATAACTAACTTAGATCAATTTGCTAGAAGTTTTTCTTCTGCTGTTTAACTGTAAGATAAGATGGGATGCCCTTGGTTTTACGTGCTAACCGATATATCAATTTTGCTGGCAGATCAATGAGAAAGCAAGCGAGGAAGTGTTGGAAATAGAACAGAAGTACAACAAGATCCGCAAGCCTGTTTATGATAAGCGAAATGATATCATTAACTCTATTTCTGACTTCTGGTTGACTGCTGTTAGTGGCCCCATCCTGATCCTTTTTTTTCTCTATATTCTGGATTTCTGAAGATTATTTTAACACTATAATTGATCTCATTTGCTTGCAGTTTTTGAGTCATCCTGTTCTTGGTGACCTTCTAACTGAAGAGGACCAAAAGGTTTGATTCTAATTTGTTACATATAAACTTCTGAAGCAAACCATTACTGTTTCTCTAATATTGACACCCGCTCAATTAGCAAAGAGTCTCTCATCTGATACACTGTCTAAGTACAGTTTGAATGGCTGCTTTCGTTCTGATATGAATCTCATAATGTTACTGCCTTCTTTCTTGCTAGATTTTCAAATTCTTAAGTTCTATTGAAGTGGAAGACTCGAAAGATGTGAAATTTGGTTATTCAATCACGTTTGTGAGTTCACTACTCTCTTGATGCTGAAATTAATTTAGTACATTAGACTCTTGTGTTTGCTGGGATGTAGAATGCTAATGACTCCTCGTCTTCCTCACAGAACTTTAAGTCCAATCCTTTTTTTGAAAATTCAAAGCTCTCAAAGACCTATACCTTTCTTGAAGATGGACCTACAAAAATCACAGCTACACCAATAAAATGGAAAGAAGGCAAGGTGAGTCGCCAATTTGCTACTTGACAAATGTTACACATCTTTATGTTATCCCTTTCCTCTCACTATATATGTTGTTTGACTTTTGAAGGGCATTCCTAATGGTGTTGCTCAGGAGAAGAAAGGAAACAAGCGATCCCATGCTGAAGAGAGGTCAGCTTACAGATCTAGCATTTCTTAGGACTTTTAGTTTTTTGCAAGGCTATTAATTGTTTATAACAAGTCTGTCAACTTGCAACTGATATATTGTTGGAACCTTGGTTCGTTCAAGAGAAAAGTAGGTTTGCTCACACATTAAACCAGGTTATGATCTCTACCTTAGGAATACAGATTCTTGTACAGCACATTTTCTTACTAAATCTCACCTATAACTGGCTCATTCTGATCTTTGAAATAACAAACTAACCTAATTGCCTGCTGCAATGTGTTTACTTCACTATAGAGTCAAGTGCGAAATATATTGGTCCATCCATCACAAAAAGAAATGACAGGATTAAATATAATGATTCAAATCACTAATTTTGCATTGATTTCTGACATCCAATTTTTGAAATAAAAGTTACATATTCAGGAACTATATAGAGTATGGCAAATAATAACTTTTTATAACTAAAAATATTAATAAAATGTTTTGGAAAAATTCTTTCTCGAGAAAACCTATTTGAGTTCCCAAATAGTAATAGTGTAAAATATGGCAGTTAATGCAGCCTTGTTGAAACTATTTTACAACTCTGTGCACTCACTAAGTCATTTGTCTACAACATTCTGTGACTATCCTCATAAAGTCACAGTTACTTGGTAGTTGGTACTAAGTTGGTACAGAGACTGAACACATGCTCGATGCTGTCTTCTGCACTCTTAATTTTAGCTGTACTGCTAAGTGTCATATTCATGGTCATCCTATCTCAGTTGCTTTTCGCTTGTTTTTCCATACAGCTTCTTCACCTGGTTCAGTGAAGTCAATAAAAAAGATGACAGCGATGATGATGAAAATGAGGTTCTGGAGATTCAGGATGAGGTAAAATCTAAATCTTCGGCAAATAATTAAGATTTTTGGTGCCCTTTTTTTTGGATGGGAGAAGGGGAGCGTATTTAGGTGTTTTGGTGCATAAAGTTTTTTGCATTTTCAAACTTGTACCTTTGTTTTCTTGTTTGCAGGTTGCTGAAATAATCAAGGATGACTTGTGGCCAAACCCTTTAACTTATTTTACCAATGTTAGTTCCATACTGCATCTCTTGTTTCCTTGATCTGTTAATCAAGATTTAGTCATGCACTTTTAACTTGATAACATTATCTGAGATTTACTTAACCACAGGAGCCTGATGAAGAAGATTTTGAGGGTGATGAAGGTGGTGATGAGGTAAAGCAACATTCTTGCTAATAGTTGTCATAACTTGTGCACATCATTTGCTATATATTAAGTCATACTTAGTCATCTGTGGCTCTAATATGCCCTCCTTTTGGGATTACATTTATTTCTTTCCTAGGCCCATGTGGTATGAGGGTGAAAGGGCACTATTGGACAAAGTTTCTAGTTTCTAAGTGCAGCCTTAGTAACTTTAGTTGTAGAATTCAAGTGTTTGACCCTGCTTGGTTGTGGCCTTGGTTGATTTTTAAGTCGATTTGTTGTCCTTGTGAGTTGAGTTGCTTTTGTTGACTTCAGAATTACATAGTGGTTACGTAGTTTAATGGTTTTCTTAAATACTAGGGATAATTTTGTTCTATCCCCCCCTTCACTCTCACATCAAGTAGAAAGAGTCTACTCAAGTTTGTAGGTAGTTTCTTCAAGAACTTTCCTTCTTTTATGTATGTCTAAAAGAAGCACACACTGTCAGCATTTGGTAGTATAATTGGTTAACAGTTTGAAATGTCCTTCCAAGTGACTGATAGGATTTTACTAAAATCTTAATAGCTGCAACGCTGTATGAAATCCAATAAAACCTCAAACCTCCATTATAACTTTCTGCAAGAAATATAGTTCTTTGTGTTTGTGGTCCTTTGGTTTTTTAGGTGTTTATCCTACATTTCCATCTTAGTTTTCATGAAAACTTTTTGCTGCTGTATTGTGGGTTAAACCAAAACTTCGTCTACCTTGCATTTTGATGAGAAGTTGGGTGGATATCAAGTCGGGTGTAATAGAAGGCGGAGTCGAGACATGTGAGGGAGAAAAGGGAAGGTATGGTGAAGGAAGTCTTAGATCAAAGCCTCAAAAAGATGCCATCTTTAAAAGCATCATAAAGGGGAGTTAGGGGATTCTTCTATACTTGTAAATACATTTGTTTCAGCACCTTCTTGGTGCTATTCAATGAAAATATGTTAACTTAGTATAAAACAAATGCATAATATAAGGAAGAGGATGAAACCATAGCTTTTGGTTTTACCTTCCTGGAGGGTATTGGTTGGGTACTCTTCCTTTCAGAAGATCGAAGTTGTCTTTGTTTTTGAGAACAATAAAGTATCTATTCTGACAAAGAAATTGTGTTTATTTTCTTCCTTTCTTCCCCTTGGGCCTAGGGAGAGAGGTCCTTTTGGTGGAACCTCACTCTTTTTTGTTTAGGATAAGAAGAGGGAGCGTGTGTCTTACTGTTGTTTCACTTTCCTAGCCGAAAAGAGGTAAAAGTAGAACATGTATGACTCCATGAGGAGTTGGGATTTTCGCCGCAGGAAAGAGGAAAGCCTGCTTTTGTTTTAAACTTCGATTTCCAATTCTACCAAACAACATGAGGAGGAAGAAATGCAATTATGTGCAAGTGCCCCTATCTCTTCTTACCTTTCCTCTGCTGTTCCTCAACTTAAATTTGGCATTTGACTTATATTCTGGTTACAATGCAGAGATATTTTGTGGTTCAAAACTTGTTAATGGGGTCTTTTACTGCATGCTCATCATTCTTTTTGGAAGATGAATGTACCATTTAGATAGTAAACCTATTGATAGTATAGTTCTTGTTGATATTTTAAATTATAATATATAAATTGTGTATATGGTGGTAAAATGAAAGATGTTCTTTTCTGTCTTTGTATGGTTTGGTTGATTTGATTTGAATTCCTATATGCAGGGCGAAGACTCTGAAGATGAAGGTGATGAGGAGGAAGAGGAAGACGATGAAGATGAAGAAGACAAATGAACTGTTAATGGACCTCGTGTTTGATTTGATTTCTCTTCGACGTTTCAATCATCATAGTTGCTATCTGTAAAGAAGCTTAATATTGCAGAAAAATTGAATTATATATAGTGGTGACTTCTTTTTGGCTACAATGAACTTTTTCTTATTCATTCTTTAACCTTTACTTATAATCTTTTTAATTTTTAAGTACGTATTTTTTAACTTCATGATTCTTCCTATGCAAGAAGGTTTTTCTCATCTCTTTAAGGAAATAACATACTAGTAAATTGTCAGCTGACATAGTTGGCCTGGCACTAACAACGTCATATATTTCCTTTAAATATCCACTTGATTCCAAATTCATGGTAGATGGAAACACAATACTTTATTGTGAGGATGATGATACCAACACAGTTTGTAGTGACTAAAATATTATTGTTTCTCGTTTGTCAATTGGTACATGGGATAAGTATAATAATGTTAAAACAAATTTCAGATTAATTTTATCGTTTGATCTGAGGTATTAGCTTATCCTGAGATTATTTTATTTGACTTTTTGTATGCTTCTTCCGTCCATGCTTAATATCATCGAACAACCAAACCAAGTTGACACAAACAAATGGCAAAAAGAACGACTGTAGATTTGAGTCCATTTTTCAGAGAAGGATATGAAGATGAAATGAGAAAAATTGTTGATACAATTAGTAAAGCCTGTTGTGAGTATGGTTTTTTCCAAATTGTGAATCATGGTGTACCCCTTGATCTCACTAGTCAAGCTCTAAAGGTGTCCAAGTCTTTCTTTGAATCTCCAACTGAAGCCAAACTCAAATGTTCTCCACTGCCTAATGTACCTGTTCCTGCAGGCTATAACAAGAAGCCTAATCCTTCTTATGAGTTTAGTGAATTCCTTATTATGCTTCCACCTGGTTCTGACTTCAATATCTTCCCAGACAATCCTCCTCAATTTCGGTATGAGCATAATTTTTAGCCTTTTGTCTTCTAATACTTCATAAGTGAATCTAGAACGGATACTGAATCAATTGCTTTCAACTCGAATTATGTATATGTACATAAAGAAAAAGTTTAAAATGTGTGTGTATAATAAATTGGGTTTTTTTTTTTTTTTTTTTATCATTTAAGCATATTTAATCAGATTGTTTAGCTCACCTTAGGCAGAGGCAAGGACTGCGTACACCCCACCCTCTCCAGACCCTACTTGTGAGATTATACGGGATATGTTGTTGTTATCGTTTATCTTACCTATCTAATGCTTCTTTTCCCAAATAGAATACAATATATTTGATCTTAATAAACACATATCAACATGATGCATTTAGCCCTTCAATTGCCTTGCAGAGGGAAATGAACTTTGTGCTAGTTTTGCAAGTGGAACAATATCATCCTTTTATATGATGAATTTCTTTCACATTTCAGAGAGGTGATGGAAGAGTTATTCTCCCAATTCATGAAGATAGGAATGGTTGTCGAAAGAATCCTAAGCGAGTGTCTGGGGCTTCCTTCCTGTGTTCTTGAAGAACTTAACAATGACAGAAGCTGGGATTTCCTCATTGACTTGCCGGCAACAGAGAAAGAAAGGATAGGATCAAATCCACATAAAGATTTCAGTTGCTTCACAATTGTTTTACAAAATGAAGTTGCAGGCCTGGAGGTTCAAAAGGATCCTAATAGCCCCACAACCAGGTGCCCTTGTAGTCAACATTGGTGATGCTCTTCAGGTAAATAAATGTATTTGTGAATGAAAAAGGTACTTCTCAAAAACAATTGAGTAGCAGCTAGCTCATTCGTAGAACAGTAAAAATCAATAGTTAGCTATAGAGGCAGATTCAGGATATGAAGTTTATGACTTCCTATAGCGACTTTTATCTAGGATGTAATTATTTGTAATGGAATGAATTCTGATCGTTACAACGTGAACAGGTCCTTACGAATGACAAATTCAAGAGTCGTGGTGAGACCAAATGGAAGATGAAGGAATTCATTTGCGTTCTTCCACAATTTATCAGGGGATAAGTGGATTCAACCACTGCCCCAGTTCACAAAAGAGATTGCAGAACCACCAAAATACAGGCCATTCTTGTATAAAGAGTATCTACAGAAAAGAAGAGAAAGCAAGTCTAAGATGAGATTACCATATCGCATTATGCAATCCCTGAAGAGTGATATTAGACAAAATAAAAAGGTAATGGCTTGTAACTTATAAGACATTAACTCATGATCTCGCGGTTTTCACAATAGATTTATCTGCCCTGATTTAATTAAAGGCAGATTGAATCAAGGATATTGAGCTTTTTAATAGTAAACCCCAGTGATGAGTAAAATAAATTTAAGGTCTATATTTTTTTGTTTTCAAGTTCCAAAATTCCAGAGATATATTAAAGGTAACATGCTTATTTTATTACTCTTGAAAAGGGGAAAACAGAATATGCTTATTGACATGTTAAGTATATTAGATTGTGTGGGAGAATACAAATCAACGAAATGGAGTTTTTGCTCTCGATAGATTTAAGTAGTGTAGCTTATCAACGATCTTTGGTACTACTTTTCTTTGTACAAAATAAAAATGTATAGAGTATGATACGGACTCAAGTCAGGTGAAACAATTATATTTAAAGCCTATTAGATCCCTACCTGTCCATGACATAGAAAAGGATGAACTTTGAGGAATCAAAGTGTTCTTTTTATTACTTTTCCTAAAAGAAAATCTGTTTAATAGTAATGGGCAATGTCGAAATTTGAACAGTGCAAGTCAGTAGGCCTTGGGCACTCTTATTAGACAAAAGGGCTGAGTGCTGACCACAACTCTCTTCTTATAAATTGGACCCAGAAAGAGCAGTCCAACATGCAAAACGCAATCGGCTCGGCCCGCGCTTGCACTTTTGTTGGTTTTTAAGTTTATATTTTCATATCGTAATATCTCCTAAGTTAATATCCCATGACCTTAAAGAGCTTATGTCTTGTTAGGTATAAGTTTGATTTCTAAAGACAAAAATGAAAGACCAACTTATTTAAAAGGAAAATCGTGCTATCGTCTTTTCTCAAAGTAATAAGCCACCAAATCTTACAGTCTAATTAATAAAATCGATGAGAGTTTTTTCACACCTTAACTGTGAGTTGGATTTTCCCTATTCTCATTTCCTTAAATCAATTAACATCCAGCAGAATGTTAAAGGGAGATTAATTAGTAGCTTTGCATTGACTAATAATGAAGAAATTTAAACCGATTTTACTTATCTTGTAAGATAAAGAGGTGAACAAAGAATGAGATAAGTTTCATAACACAAGCTAAAAAGTTTGAAAAATAGTTCTAACCTTTATTTTACCTAGCACAGTTCTCTATGCTCAATTTCACAATCAATTATTTCTGGTAGGTCCCATTTTACAAAAATAAAAATGTTAATGCTCATCAAGAGTGACATAACAAAATAATGAGTGTTATTATTTTTGGTTATATCGTTTTCTATGCACACTTATGTCTGCTGCATGCATCATTTTATTAGAGCACTTTAATTGGGAAAAAATTGCTTTCCTTTAATTAATCCTTTACTTTTCACATGAATATTGATACTAAGAATATTTTTCTAATTGTTGGGTGTGACGTGGCGTTGTCTTCATCTTGTGATTGAAAAAGTATATATGTGCTTTATTATTATGAGGAGCCATGTGTAATCATCATTTCCTCTTTAATCATTCAACCAACGTAACGCACAATCTTGAATCTCTAACCTTAAACCCCTCAAATTTATCTAATTAAAACACCACCTTAATTGTTGGACCTAGGTGTTTAACTAGGTCCATAGCTCTTGCTTCCCCAATAATTGTAATTTGTGTTCTTTCATGTCCTCTAGTCACTCATTTTAGAGAAACAAAAATAACTTCAACTATTTGCTTCAACATTTAGCTTATCTACCCCTTTATGTCTCAAAATACTCATCATATTAAAAATACTTGTCATTTTAAAATATCAAGATAAATTTTTAAATTTTATCCTTTTAGTAAAATTGTTCCTGAGGACTATAAACATCGATCTCAATTATCACACATAAGTAAATACTCAATGAAGAGAGATTATATCTTAAGAGATAAATAAATATAAAATAGCTAAATACCCTCTTAACTAATATTTTCTTAAGAACCATATAAATTAAAAATCGAATAAATATTTTGTGATAGAGAAAGTAATTATCCATTTAAGGAAGAGATAGAGATTATCAAGTCGAATACCCTTTATGATTGATGATATTAAATAATTTTTTTTTTATATATGTGTCAAAATCAAGGAGTAAAATACTAAATGATTTTAGTTATAAATTGACTTAAGGTCATATTTTTTTCACATTAAATAGGAAAAGCATAAGATGACAAACATAGTACGTGTAACTATAATTAATCCAACTCCTGCTTCTGGAACTATGTGTGTTGCTATTTTTCTCAAAATCTCCAGATACTGTCCGTCCATTACATCCTTAGAAATCAGAATAAGATATATGTATGAGATACTAGTCATTTTTTGTGTCTTTTGATTGGTTTTCATAAAGTTTGTCTGGATAAGATATTAAGATATTTATTTTTCTTTTTCTTAGCTAGGTGGGTTTTTTTTTCTGGAAAATTTAGGGTATGGACAACACACTAAAAGGCAACAGAAAATGACTTTTGTTAAATTGATTTATCTGCAAAATGAGATTCTTTGATAGTTACATCTCTTTCTCCATATCTTATTCCCACTTTCAGATTTTCGTTAATTATCTTTATCTATTTTCAACTTCTATAAACTATGTTTCTTTTCTATAATTGATAAAAGTCGTTGTTTTAAAAGACACTCATTAGAACTCTGTATATATGTTTGTAATAAATTTTAAAGTGACAGAAAATAAATTACAATCACAAATAAAATATAAAGAAACGTGATTTTATTGATAAATAGTGCGGGTACAATTCCGTTTCTCCCTTTATTCTTCTTTCATAAGATATTTATTCATGATTTGAGGGCCGTTTGTGGCGTATTTCTCGAATTAGGATGATTGATTTTGATCTCTCTATGAATATTCATGAATTTGTGGAATATTCGAGATTTCGCTCTCTTTATGAAATTTTCGAGATGCATTTCAAGGAAATATAGTACCCTTTATATAAGCACGAACTAGAGTTTATGGTTGAGTAGCCTCCAAGAAATCTAATTGAAATTGAACACACCATTAGAGTTCCAACTCAAATTGAATGTGTCTTTTAGAGTCCCACAAAATTTTAATGTCTACAATGTCAATTTCTTTACTTTGTAGCTGAACTTTCTTATCTACACAATGTGAAATTAACTTACCTAGTATTTGAAATTGACGTAACTGTTCACCTTATCGACCAACATTTTTCCCTCTTCGATCGGTAGCTAGGTACTCTACGTGATGCCAATTAGTATTAAATGGACCATTTAACTTTGGATATGGAATAAAAGGTTAAACTAAAAAATAATTTAAGATTAATGTGGAAATTTGTTTAGAGTTCACTAATTATCTTCTGACACTTTCAAACTGTTATTATTATGATGAAAGAAAAGAAAAAAAATGATGGTTTATAATGCGTTATGGTTAGGTGGTCGGATGATAAACTAAACTAAACTAATTAGGCTGCGCGGGACAGGGAATATATATGGAGATTATGCTTTTCTTGTTGGAAAGGACAAATTTGTTCAACAGATTTTATTTTTTTAAAAAAATATGAAATTAAAGAATAAATAATAGACAAAACAGACTAATTTTCCCTTCTTTAACACACAAAATTAGTACTTATATTTTACAAAAATAGAAAAAGTTAAGAAGAAAAATACTTTAAAAAAAATATGAGCACTACTCCTGCAAAAGTGCAAATGGACCCTTAGCCCTTTTTGCTAATTTGATTTATTTCTTTTTGCGGAGAAAAGGAACAGTAAACTGTCAAACACGCACAAAGCCAGTGGGGTCTGTTCCTAATATTTTTAATTTAAAAAGAAATCATAACAATTCTTTGATCTATTTTTTTCTAGTAACATTTTATGACAAATATGAAATTGGAAAATGAAAGTTCAACGATAATTTCTGTCCACCCAATTTTATTTTTCTTCATTCTTGCCCTTCACAAAAAATATTAATCCTGTTTATATTTTTTTTTAAACAAACGTACAAGTTACAAACCATGTCAATTACAATCTCGAGAAAATTACAAACGTACAACCATGTCACTTTTTAAATTGAAGACTTAGATAGTGTCATATCATTGCTGTCACATTTTTATTTTATTTTTGTAGTAATTACATTAATAAGATCATGTTTATTTGAGAAAATTAAAACACATAAAATGTCGTTTTAAATTTGTGATATTTTTCATAATAATTAATACTCAGTTAATTAATAATCTCTCTAAGATAATAATTTTCTCCGGTCCCGACTTGGGCCAATGGAAAATATAACTCATTTCGATAAAATAATAAGATAATATATTTTCAGAAGACCTCTATATAAACATATGGTCCCTAATATTATAAATTAATAATCCTTTAAAAGTACAAATATATTTAAGAAATTTTAGTGAAATATGATTTTATTTTGTTCTGTTTTTTGTTAAAATTTAAATCTAGTTGAAGCTCATCTCTAACTTTTTTTGTTGCATTCAAAAGTTTCGGTACTGTCTTTTCTAGCTGCACCATAAAATTGTGAAGAGTTCTAGATGCAACTGTTTTCTTACGCGTAACTGGTTCCAAATGTCTTGTATCATCTTCAACTTTATTATCAACATTGTTTTTCCAATGATATCCACAATCTGTTCTAAGCTCTGGACCTCTGAACATGTATCATTTTCATACATTCAATAGGTTATTAACGTCCATTTTATTGCGACAATTGAGATCATTAATCATGAGCTCAAGTTCATGAATGACATTTTAACAAGTGGATTCTTTCAAATTCTTTGAGATTTCATCCATGAACTATTTTTTCGATGTCGAAAGACTCAGTAAATTAATAAATATTAATTTATCGACTAAATAATACCTCTACAAAATAATAATATTTTATAGTCCCGTCTATATTAATTTAAAGAGGTTTTATTGTATGTAGGGTTACAAATTCCCCAACTTTGTGATATTTGTGAAATAAGTCCCACAAAGCAATTGACACCAATGCCCTCCCAAAATATCAGGATGGG